GACCGGTTTTGATTTTTATTTTGATCTATTTTAAATTGCGTGACACTGAAAACCAGCAATTAGAGGGATATAATTTTATGCCAGCTAACTCGTTCGACTCTTACTGATGTTTTGTTAATGTTTTTAAAAATCTGACCACCGGCAGGCCATAGGGTAGGCCACAGGGTAGGCCATGGCCTACCCCACGTTTTGTCCACACCCACCCGTTCCGGGAGCTTATCCGTGATCCGGCCCGATCCGGTCCGATCCTGATTTTGTCGATGCCGCATGTAGGTAGCGGTTTTCCCTGTATAGTAAGGTCGCGTAAGAAATGACAACAGGAGACAAAGGTAAGCTATTCATTCTTTTCATTCCTTTATTTACTCCCTTCCCTGCCTTTGTCCATAATTTAAGCTTATTTATTCCAGAAGTTCGACAACCTAAAATGTGTTGATTGGAGTCGGTCTGGAAGGAGAGCCTAAAACAGCCTTCAATCAGCAATAAAAAGCCATGAACCTTACCTGGAGGACGTCCACTTTATAAGACAACTTTTGAGGAAGAGCGACGGAATTTGGTTCCTCTTCAACGTAAACGGCACGGCGTAAAAGAGGCGATTCATTGCCGCCATATTGATTTAGTTCCTACGCCTCAATATTTCACCGCGGTCAATCGTTTTGGGTCACGTGGTCCGGGGCGAAGGTTTCGTCTGTTATAGCCAGACGAACTAACCAACCACAAGCACGGACAACATAGGTGACCGAGCGCCAGCAAAGCGCAGATTTAGAGAAGCTATGCGCATGCAGACGATTTAGGTCACTCGATTGAGCGATTTAAAATAGGTCAATAAAAGACTCCAGACCCTCAATACTAGGGTGCGTTTTCTATTACTTAGCAGATGAAACGGTTCTTTCGAAAATCCTGCATTCTCTAATTTCCTTTGTTTGTGTCCTCTAAGCCTCGCTGCCAAGCTGAATTTTAATATATCGAAAGTGGTCTATTTTTGAGTTATTTTTTGTAAAAAAAAAATATTTTATGGCTTACTATTTAGTTATCTTACCATTACCGATGTAACATCGTATGTACATCATAAACTCCCAATTTCTTTCTTGCTGTACATTGTACATCGCAACCAAAAAAACTTGTCAAATCAACCAAATCATTACTGTAAACAGTCCCATGAATGCTCCTATCTCCGAGACTTATAGTTCACAAAAAAATAACTCTTGCACACCTTGCGTGCCTATGTTCTTAGGACAGTGAAAGTCCTCCGATGTAGTGAAAGAACAACGGAGTCTGATGATAAAAGGAAAGTCTAGTCTGTTCCAGGTTATTATTCGATCAAGACTGTTCTTTTTTTTTTTTTTTTTGGATCCAGCCGGCTCAAGAATGTTTTTATATGGTTTCTAAATTGTATATTCACAACTGGGACTATCTAAAACATCTTAAGTCAATTTTCCCTCTTAAGTATTTTATCATCCGCATTTCTATCCGCATTAGTTCGCAGTGGTTGTCCAAGGTTTCTCATCCTGCTATGCTTTGTTTTGTTGAAGAAAACAAAAGCAAAAACCGACACAACGTAGGATGATGTTTTGAAGGTGTACTATATTTTGGCTGGCCAAACCAGCCTTCTTCAGGTACAATAAAAATTTTACATTGGGACGAGTTTTTATGTAGCCGATATTTACGTAATACCGGAAATACGTAAAAGTAATTGACAGTGTAAATTAAAGATAAGCATACGGTAAAATAAAATAACATGATAAAAGAACATAATAAAAGAAAACAAATGGAAACAATTAATATGTTTCTTCACGGATGTTCAGACCATCAGGATCAATTGTTCCGCTTTTTTTAATTAAAAAAGCTTCCCTGGCCTTACGGATAGAGTCTCGGTTTGAAAAGATTTTTTCGAAAATCCTTTTTTCGAGGATTTTTTGTTGTTGTTGCACGTTACGTTCTGATTTATACAGTAATTTACAAATGTTCCATTTTTACTCGGCTTCTCTATAATAATTGCATTTGATCAAAATGACCAGTATAAGCTTTATTCATAATGGTAATAGGACTGAGTGGAGTCCAATTCGGTCTGTAATCATACGAGTGATTAACAAAATCGGACGACCGCGAAGCGGGAGTCCGATTTG